AATTGAAGAAAAAATATAAAGGGAGTGAAAGGGTGAGATCGGTGAAGCTTCTCACTTTGAAAAGAGAGTTTGAGATGCTAGGAATGAAAGAGGGCGAGTCTGTTAGAGAATATGCAGCAAAGTTACAAGAAATTGTTAATAAAATCAAGTTATATGGAGAAGCATTTCCAGATTTCAAAATAGTTGAAAAGATTTTGATAAGTCTTCCGACAAAGTTTGAGCCTAAGATTTCTGCTATAGAGGAATCATGTGATCTTAAAGTCCTCTCTGTTGCAGAACTTATAAGCAAATTGCATTCTCAAGAACAAAGATCAAACCTGAGAGAAGATGAAGCTGTCGAAGGTGCATTTTGAGCTAGGCCGAAATGTAGACCTCAAGGAAAGCAGTATAAGAAGGGAGGTACCGAGAAAGGGAAGGGTGCTAAAACTTCAAAGGATCAGGGAAAGAGAAATAAGTTCCATCCATGCAGCATTTGTCAAAGAACAAATCATCTTGAGAAAGATTGTAGGTTCAAAGATAAACCAAAGATTGAATGCAGGTATTGTAAGAAGCTGGGGCACATAGAAAAGAATTGTTGGGCCAAGAAAAATCAAGCAAACAACAAAGAGCAGCCTTCACAATATGCAAATTACACTGACGAGTCGGAGGAAGAAACTTCAAAACTGTTTATGGTCCCTCAATCCTCTGTTGACACTTGCAATCACACTTGGTATGTGGATAGTGGTTGTACAAGTCACATAGCAAATGAGGATAACATGTTCTGCGAATTTGATGGAACAATCAATACACGGGTCAAACTTGGAAATGGACAAGTGGTTGAAGCTCAAGGCAAAGGTATTGTTGCTGTTCAGTCTCCAAAAGGTGCCAGATATATTCAAAATGTTCTTTACATACCAAGCTTGACACAAAATCTTCGGAGTGTTGCACAAATGATTTCTAATAGGTATTCTCTGATTTTTAAAAATCGAAGTTGCTGCATATTTGATCAAAATAATCACTTAATTGTTGAAGTGAAAATGATAGATAAATGTTTTCCGCTGAAGTGGAATTCAGTCCTTGATAGTGCTCTTTATAGTAAATATGATGAAACGTTGTTGTGGCATAGGAGATATGGACATTTCAATCTTGTATTATTGAAACAAATGCAATCTCAACAATTAACTAGAGATTTTCAAGGATTAAATGAATCAGATTTTGTATGTGGTGTATATCAGCTTGGAAAGTCTCATAGGCAGCCGTTTCCTTCAAATTCTAAATGGAGAGCAAGAGAAAAACTTGAATTAGTACACAGATGTGTGTGGACCTAGATGGATCCATTCACAAACACAAGGTAAGGCTTGTTGTCAAAGGCTATTCACAACAATTAGGTGGACTTTAGAGATACATTTTCTCCCGTGGCAAGGCATGAAACTATCAGGTTGTTATGAGCCCTTGCAGCTCAACAAAAATTTCAAGTCTTCCATCTTGATATAAAATTTGCATTCTTAACTGGTGAGTTAGGGGAGGAGCTTTATATAGAGCAATCCGAAGGATTCAAGGCTGTTGGTATAAAAGACAAAGTGTATCGATTCCATAAGGCACTTTATGGGCTCAAGTAGGCTCCTCAAGCCTGGTATAGTAAGATTGACACTTACTTGACAAAGTGTGGATTTATGAGAAGCGAGAATGAACTCACTTTATATGTTAAGACTGCTGAAATGGAGCAAGTTATCATTGTTTCTCTTTATGTAGATGACTTGTTAGTCACTGGAAGTTGTTCCAAAATTATTTCAAAAATTCAAAAGAGAAATGGAAGACAAATTTGAGATGTCTGACTTGGAACTCATGACATATTTTCTTGGCATGGAGATCAACCAATCTAGAGAAGGTATTTTTGTGTCACAACAGAAATATGCAACCGGATTATTGAAGAAGTTTAAAATGGAGAGCTGCAAACAAGTTTCTACTCCTTTGGTTCAAAATCTGAAGCTATCAAAGGAAGATAAAGGTGAAAATGTGAATGTTACTCTGTACAGAAGTTTAATAAGGAGTTTGCTTTATTTGACAGCTTCAAGACCTGATTTGCTGTTTGCAGCAAGTGTTCTTTCAAGATTTATGCAAGACTCAGGACAAAAGCATCTAGTAGCAGTTAAAAGGGTGCTTAGATATGTTAAAGGAACAATTGACTATGGCATTGTTTATACACAGATTAAATATAGTGTTCTTGAACGTTTTTTTGATAGTGATTGGACAAGATGTCCTGATGATTTCAAAAGCAGTACTGGATATGTGGTTACAATTGGGTCAGGGGTGTTTTCATGGCTATCAAGAAAGCAAGGGATGGTGGCGCAGTTAACAGCAAAAGTTGAATACATTGCTACTAGTGCTAGTGCAAATCAAGCCATATGGTTAAGAAAAGGTTTGCATGATTTGAAGCAAATTCAAGTTGCTCCAACTGTGATCAAGTTGGATAATCAATCAGCCTTGGCTATGGCTAAAAATCCAGTCAACTATGGGAGAACAAAACACATACAAGTTAAGTTCCATGCTATTCGACAAGTTGAAAAAGAAGGTGAAGTTACTTTAGTTCACTGCAGCTCTAAGAACCAACTTACAGATATCATGACCAGCCATTAGGGAAGGAAAGATTTGAAACATTAAGATTAAAGTTAGACAGTTCTAAGAAAGCTCCTAAGGAGGAGTGTTGATGTATTAAGATTTTTCTTAAAGCTATTTAGATATTTTCTATTTTGTAAGTACAAAGTACTATGTATATGTATGGTCCTGCATATTTCTAACAATAAAATATGCACATAATATTTTGCAGTAGGTAGTGTTATGATTTCCTTCCATAATTTAAGTTGTTTACTTAGGGAAGAAACCTTTATATATACATATATATCACTTTTTTGTATTTTAAAAAATATCAATGAAAATTCACATTTCTTGTCATCCTTACTGATATTTTTCTACTCTTTCTAATTTTTGTCAGGGATACAAGACATGGTTTCTTTTTTTTTAAGAAAAGAAAATATCATATATGGTTTCTTTGGGGTTTCCTTTTTCTACGCTACAGATGTATTGGGTTGGGATCTTGTATTCATATGTTTGGTTTTTTTGTTTTTGTTTTCATTTTTTTTTCTCTTTTATGGAGGATAACTTATAGTCTTTATTTTCCTTACTTTATCTAATATTTTCTTTTACTACTGAAAAATTATGAATGATAGGATCATGATGTTATAGTGACTGCATATGCTTAGTTTTAAAAATAGATCCTAGATTATATTGGCTGAGCTGATTTATAGATTATTTATTTATTTATTTTAGTAAGTACCATGGGAAAAACTCCATGCAACCTGTGTTCATTTTGGGGCCTAGCAAATATAAAGGCCATGGTCAATTTGTAGATGCATGTACTTATGGTACATATTATTCATTATTAGATTAAATGGTTCCAAATAATTTAGGTGAGTTCTAGTTATCTCAAAAATTTAAAAAAATTGTTTATTTTTATTTTTATGCTATAAGGAGCTGCTTTCTATGCAATTCCACTATGCCAAAGGTGTGGAGAAAGCACAAGACAGATAATTTGAAAGTTAAATCAACTAGATTAATTTGAGTAATTGGATTAATCTGTTTTTAATGGGCTTAGCTCTTATATTGACTGTCAAATACTCATATAAAATGGTAATAAATCAAGTTTTCCCTACTAAAATTTAAAGTTTAGTCAGTTCATTTGATTTAGTTTGTATAGACCAGGCAATGGAAACTGCTATGTTCTCATTTCTATCTTTTGAATATTCAAACTGACCTTTTGTCCTTAAAAGTATTCTTTTACTCTCTTATTTCAATTTTTACACATGTTACATGCTTCCATTTATAGTTTGATCCTCCTCTTATTGCAGGATGGATCTTCAGCATGCAGGAGAGGGGGAATCTCTTATGTTAGAAGGGGATATTGGTGGTGGATTGGTTCTCCAAAGGATGATTAAAATCCCCAGGCACAACCCCAAGGTAATCCAGATTGACTCTAGCATTGTAGCCCGCAAAGTTGGTGCTGGTTCAGGAGGATTTTCAAGGTTGGTTTGGTTTCTTATTTTTGTTTATTTTATTTTTAATGTTCCTCCCTTTTTCTCAAGTCACTTTAGTAGTTTCCGGCACTACTGCTACCCCTCGAAATCAAAAATATCAGCGTGCCTGTTCTTTTGATACTGAATTAATTTGATATAATTTTTAGCCCAAAATCTGGTTAGGGGGTTTTTGAACTGAAAATCAGAATTGAAATTTGTAAAATGTTTCTAGGAATGTCTTCCCCTCTAACCTATTTTCCTAAAAAGTTTTGGCTCGTTTTGAAACAAACCAAATATCTCTTTGAATAAGAAAGTGCTCAAAAATTTTGCTTAAGTGTTTTGTCTATTGCTAATTTATAAATAATATCTTTTCCTATCCATTAAGTATTCAATATAGTATCAGAGTTAAAGGTCTAGTGTTCAAGTCTTAACTGCTGCCTATTGACTAATTTCAGCGCAACTTAGACTGTCTATGCTTCACTCAATGTAAATTCTTGTGGGCTTGCACTTGAGGGAACATGCTAATCTATAAACTATAGACTGCATCATTTCAGATTTCGTTTAAGCTCTTAACAATTGAACCAATAAATTATTTAACAACTACAATTTTACTCTTCCATTTATACTTATTGTAATTGAACAGAAAAATATGTGAATATTTTATGATGATATTATTCCGATAGATTAGAGATATATATACATATACAGAGGGATCTATCTAAGGTAACTAGTTTAAAATTATCCTATCAATCTACTACCTTTAATTATGCTATTTTGCGTGGAAAGTCTATTGCCTACAATTATATTATTATACAAGGAAAGTATGTTCTAATCTCGTCACACTCCCTATTAAGATGGAGTATAAATATTAATCATGTCCAGTTTGTTTCGAAAATATCCAATCCGAGTTCTATTTAAAGTATTTGTGAATATATCACATACTTGTGCTCCTGTCTTTACATAAACAGTATAAATCAAGTTTTCCTCAATTTTCTCACACATAAAGTGACAACAAATCTTTATATGTTTGGTTCTTTTATGGTACACCAGATTTGAGATAATATGAAAGATGATCTGATTGTCACACCAAAATTTTATAGATGACACATATTTTAAACAAACTTTAACTAAAAGATGAGGTATCCATAAGATTTTACATATAAATTGGGGCATAACTTAGTATTCAGATTTTGCACTGAATTGAGATACAACAGTTGATAGGTGTCGAATCCACCAAAAATAAATTCTTAATTAACCAATAAAGTAATATTATAGTAGTGGTAATAACGGTTGAATCTACAGGAAATTAGAAACTAATTTTCTTCTTTGACCAACAAATAAAATGTAAATAAGGGAAAAATATAAAATGAACAATTAGCATAATGATATCAAACAAACTTTTGATTGCAAATTAGAAATTAAAACAATTATAAGAAAAATTCATAGTCGACGAAATAACTAACTCTAATAACGTAGTTAATCATAGATGCAAGGATTCGTTTTACTCAAAATATAGTAAATCAGTTATAGTTATCAGTAACGTTTTGAGAACCAATCTTTCTTATTCTTATATCAACCAAAAAACGTTCTAAAATTGATTCTTCGCAGCCAAGCAGTTCTGGGAATGTCCACAAGATTTAACTTGTCAACAATCTTGAGAGTTAGAAAGATCTGATTCAAGTTGTCAGATTCATCTGCGTGAATCGGTCAACTAGATGACTTACCTCCTCAGTGCAGTACTGATCGCTATTAGGTGCTGAAACCACTCAAACAATTACAGATTTGAAAAGTTCGGCTAGCTGCTTGCAGTTTTTCTTCTCGTATGATCAACCTTATTCAAACATATTCAAACCAACACATATATATAGCTGCAGAATGTAAATAAACACCAGATTTGAAATAAAACTCAAATAATTCGATTAAATCTCACAAATACATTGTTGGAGTTTGCTAGATCTATTAATTAGGCAAAAAAATAAACTAGCCACTCATGGTAGATTTTAATACAAAAGAGTTTTTTATGATAAAAGAGAAGAAAGAAGATGAAAAGAGAGTGTGGAATCTGCCGCTAAAGCTTTGTGCAACATCAGGAAGAAGAATGATGATGAACCTGTTTGGCAACCGTCCTCTTTATAGAAGAGGGGTTAGATTTTTTTCTTTTGTTAATTATGTTCATTTTTCTTAATTTTTGACTTATCCCAAGCTTTTTAGAATATTTTATCTTTGATTTTCAATCTCAAATCTTGATTGGAATGATATTTTTTTTTATATATAAAAAGCACATGTTTTAATTTAAATATGTTGCTGTGTGTGACTCTTAACCTTGCCCAAGTCTAAGTTGTCTGTCTGCTGGACCCAAGCCTTACCCAAGGTTTGTTTATGGGCTAATGATTCTTTTCACGAACTTTTCCTCTTTTTATATTGTTTTTCCTTGTTTCGTTCTTATATTCTGTCTTGAAACAAACATAGAAAATAGCTCGGATTAGATAGCATACCATGAAATTTAACAACTCAAAAGTGGGTGATAATGATGTCGTTTTAAGGCATTATCAAACTCTCCCACATTTATCTTCTGCTTGCCCTCATACCACACAGTACGCTCCATCAATACCTATCTCTTCACCTTCAACTCACTTACTCTCAATCATTTCATCACAACTTGCATGTTACACCTCAACCCTCAAGTTGCAAGAATAACCATCAAGTAGTAATTTGTAAGCTTGAGTTTCATGGAATCACACCAATGTACTTTGACAACATCCAAACACGACATGAGAAAATTTTGTAAATTTAGCACAGAAAAATAAAATCGCCACCAAAACTGTCCAGAAATAAGGTTCATTCAATTGGTTCATGCCAAAAACAGAAAAACTTGAACACTTTGCTTGCTTGAAATGTCACCAATCTTTCGACGCGATGACAAACGTTTGTGATGAATGCACCCGGTTACTTAGTTGGTCACAGTTTCAAGTGGCTGCTAGCATTACTCGTAGTCATTTTACTAGAGGAGTAAATTATTATTTGTGTTTTTTTTTTCACTATGAGTGCGTTTTACACTTCATTTCACACTTTTACTCTAAATATTTTTTAAAATGAGTGTGTTTTATGTGTCATCTCACTCATCACATGATAGCCAATTTGATTTATTCATTCAAAGCACACAATTTCGGACAAGTTGTAAAAGAGTTCTTTTTTAGTATTGATATTCGCCTAAAACTAAGAGAAAATTAATTGTTTTTTTAATAGACAACTCTCAAACAAGCTATATTCAATATGTAATAAAATATAATCATTCACAGTGTGAAAAGATGAAAAACAAGTTATAATTCCTGAAAGATGGTTATAAGTGCAATTTAATTTTTAAAATTTTTCATTTGGGTTGTTTAAAAATAATAGAAAGACAATTGTGAAAGTTGGAGTGAAAAATTGTTGGAGGTGCATGTGTGATATAGCAAAAATTAAGAAATGTCAAAATACCGAAAATGATATACCAAAAAGGAAAACTAGCTATTTGAGATATAGAATGCAGAATGTAGAATGCAGAATGCCTCTCCCCCACACTTAAACTACACATTGTTCTCAATTCGATGCAAATAATAAAAAATAAAAATGAAGTAACAGATTAATTCCCCTGATTACTTGACTTGGAGGTGGAGTGCACTGGGAAACATCAGATTTTGAGAACCACCAAATGTGTTGTCATGTGATATAAGTCTTGGGTAAAACTTATGTGGGGAATGACACATGATCGTGTTTTTCTTGGAATTCTGTTAATTTCGTTGTTGTAGACACGACATGGCTGTGCTGGGCAAGCACACGGACGTGTCTTCTTCATAGAAACGCTTTAACGATACCACACGATCGTGCCTTATGGACAAGGTATGTCACACGATTGTATCTCCCAGGTACGTGGTCGTGTCTTATGGGCCAGACACAAGGCTTGTTCGGCTGTTCTAGAGTTTGACTTTTTTCGACTCCAGCACCTGAATTCCCTGTCCCCACACTATAATTATCATAGAACTCATTTTAATTCAGAGAAAAATATTATAAATAAGTTGAAATCACTAATGCAAATAATGAAAATTGAAAAAAAATGAAGAAAAATAGATGGGTTGCCTCTTATCAAGCACCCTTGTTTTTTAGGTTAGACATTGCTAATTTTTAAGCACGTAATCAATCCGTCTTCTTCTAGCTTGTTTAGTTCGTTAGAATTTATTATTAGAAAGGTCTCTTATCTTCCCAAGAATACATATGTCAAATGTTCAAGCAGTGGTTTGGGCTCCAGTTTTGGTGCCTACAAAACAGAAGGTAGAAGTTTTGTGTCAAAAATAGAAAGGTCAACACACGATGCATTGCTGCTTTGAGGTTTAAGGATCTTCAATTCGAACGTCATATCTTGTGGATTCTTCTCAGCAACAAGATCCTCTTCTAAAATTTTAAAGTTATTTACATCAAAATCATTAAAAAGCACAATGTTCAGCTTATCATTATCACTTGAATCAAAATATTTGACTTATAAGATCTACAGTATCAATACCATATACACAAGACACATAATTAGGATATTTTATATCATCATAAATATTAAATTTTACAATTTCTCCATCAAATTCCATAGTGAGTGAACCATCCTATACATCTATCTTCGTTTTGACCGTACTAAGAAAAAATCTTCCGAGCAAAATATCAGAAGGATAAGATGATTTATCATCTTTCATATCTAACACATAATAATCAGCGGAAAAAATGAGATTATCAATTTTGACAAATATATTCTCTAGAACTCCTTGAGGATAAACAACTGATTTATCAGCTAACTGAATTATAACACATGTTTCTTTTAATGGATCAATATTTAACCTTGAATAAATAGATAAAGGCATGAAATTTATTGATGCTCCTAAGTCACACATGACTTTCTTAATTTTTAAAGTATCTATCTTATAAAAAATAACAAACATACGTTGGTCTTTGGATTTGGAGAGTAGTTTCTTCTGAATTATAGCTGAAATATTTTCCCTTCACACTTACCCTTCATTGCAGTTAAGCTTTTTCTTGTTGGTGCACAGCTCCTTTAAAAACTTGACATATTGAGACACCTGTTTAATTGCATTGAGTAAAAGAATGTTTACCTTAATCTTGCAGAAAATTTCTAAAATCTCTTTCTCTTCTTTTTCCTTAATTGTGCAAATCTTTGTGGAAATTGTGGAGGGATTTTAAATAGTGCTAACTGGTCAGAATTTGGGTTTGTTTTGTGCATCTTTCCATCACCTATAACTTTTGGTTCTGTGTTTGTTTGTAAGCCTTGCCCAAGGCTTACCCGACTGAGATTTTCCAGTAACTCTTTACCACTTCTTAATGTAATAACACTTATATTTTCACTTGGATTAATTTTAGTTTGAGATTGCAGTTTGTCTTGGAATTCCAGTTTACTCATAAATATTGCTAATTAGCTTACTTGAGTTTTTAGATTTTGAATGCTTGCTCTTGTTTCCTGTTGAAATTATTGGGTGTTAATAACAAGTGATTTAACAATTTTTTCAAGAGACATACCTTGTTTTTGAAATGTTGCTTCTTGTTGTAGAGACGGTCTTGGCTAATATTGTTGGAAATTTTGTTATCTTACTCTATAGCCCAAAGTTTAGGATGATCTCACTATCCCGG